GTTGTCGTCCCTATTTGGCTAAAATGCTTCAATGAATCATAAGAAAATATTTCAATCGGGTGATTATAGTACGAATCTACCAAGATCTGTAATCTTTATTAAGAATTTATGATTTTTTTTTATTTTCTCTATAAAATCGTATTTTCAGTTAATTTCAGAAGTCCATTGATATTTTCTTGTCGTCCATATTTTGCTAACATACATCAATGAATCATAAGAAAATGGTTCAATCGGGCGAATATAGTACTGATCTACCGAGATCTGTAATGTTTGTTGAGAATATATAACTTATTTATAAAAAATCAAGTTATCAATTGATTTCAGAAGTAGATTAGATATAAAATCTTATTTTAGTGTTTGTTTTGCTGTTTTCTTTCAAAAAATTTGAAATATCTACATAATTTGATGTCTTTTCCTCAAAACATATATTTGTTTTTGCAAATAATGAACGGATATTGTTATATTTAATGATGTTCTTATGGTTTTCTGAAGAATATACATGTTGTTCGGTTGCAACAGTCGATCTGCACATACATATGAGCCACGCATCCGGTTTACAAATTAAAAGAAAAATAAAGATCTTTAAGTACACCTCATTTCTACTTGCAAATTTATTAAAATAAGGTTTTAATATTCATTTATGTTGTTATTAAATATTTTACTTTAATTTAAGGATGTGCGATCAAACAGAGGTGAAAACACTAAAAAAATAGAAATTAAAAAGTCAAAGCAACAAAAAAGTAAATAAAAAAAATATCATTTTGAATTTTGTAGGGAATAAATGGAAAGTACAATTACAACAAAAATCATGACTCAAGAGGCCAACCAGATAACCAAAAAAAAAGTTCATCAATATCAGATTATTCTCAGCTAAGCAGGTAAAAAAACAAAATTATTTAACCAATATAAATAAGAAAAAAAGGGTCATTATATACATTTTTAAACTTTTCGAGTAAATAAGAGATATGGTAATTACAACAAAACCCATGACACATAGGGGGATAATGTAATTTAATGCAAAATAATAAAATTAAATAAGAAAAATGATAATTGCTTTAGACGAGAAATGAAAACTAATGAAACTTTTTGTGGGATAATATAATTAAATGCATGATAATAAAATTATATGATGTGTTGCTCCAAACTATATATAAATAGATATAGATATAGTAATCAACTTGTACAATTGCACAGAGAAGAATACTTAAAAAAGATAACAATATAAAAAACAAAAATAAATCATAATTTATTTCATGAAAAAAATATGAAATAAGAAAATGATTCTCAAAATTGATTTTGATCAAGTAATTGCTATTGAAGAGCCGTTACCACTTTTTTTTATGCTAATACATCCGACTATTTTCATGAGTGAATGTAACTTAAAATTTGAGTTAAATATTATAACTCCCTTGATTCATTTATGCTCATAATTTATGACATTCAAGCAAGTTATTTTGTAACTTAAAAATGAAATTGGATGTTGAAAATTTTGGAGGGAGAATAAAATTTAATGCAAGGTAATAAAATTAAATGTGATGCTCCAAATTATATATTTATAGATAATTAAAACAAAACAACTTAATCGGTCAAAAAAGATTAAAATCGATTTTATCATATATCCAAACGCGTTTTAAAGGATTTGTTGAAACTTCAATCCAAAACTTCTCAAAAACAACAATTACTTGTAAATGAAAAAGAACAATTAGTTATAAAGAAAAACAAGACAACATCAAATACCAAATTCAAATAACACATAAGTCAAATAATATGATGAAGAAAAATAGTTGAAGTCACACAAATGCATAGAAAAAAAAAAAAAAATTCAGTTCTCATAATTTCAAAGTAGCAGGCAAGCCATAATTCAAGTGAAAGCCCTATTTGGCAACATCATCCATCCACATTTGTAGAAGTGCAAGCCGGTTTTCTTCGAGTTCCAGTCCAAGAAACGTGTACAGGCTCCAAGGGTCACGAAACCTCTTTCAAGCTAACTTTCGAACCTCCATGGGGACATTAGGCAAGGACTCCAGTGCCTTCAAAGCTTGTTGAAGGCTTTCTTGATCCTTTTCTGGATTCGGACGCGCATTATGCTGGATTATGCGACTTGCTTCAGTAATAGAATTCATGGCTGTGTCAAAGGTGGAACTGGTCCCTCTACGACGACGAATGGTCCGATCACTGTCCGGGGTATTCATTTGCTCATCATTCAACTCATCAGGAAACAAATAATTCGAACAGATCGCCAAGTCTGTTCTCCGACGCCTGCCATTTCCCTCGGGTGTTTGTGTAGATGCCCTTGCACCGCGCCCAGTTGCAGTTGTCCCATTGAAAATTGTGGTCAGCTCACGGTAGTGCACGCACACCCTTTTCTTCATGTCATTGTCCTGTGGATGACCCTATTGTTCGAAAAGAGTGGACACATAATAAGCGGATGTTTATTACAAGGAAATCCAAACCAAATATACTACAACAACACCTACAGTAACTAAGACAAATAAATTGATACTAATAATAGACACATAATAATAAAAGTAACTTCATAAATCAACCAAGTTGCAGTCATGTAAAAGCTTGATAACATATTTAAAACTTTTGATTGTAATTAAACAAACAGGGGGATACATACTAAGATCAATTTCTGTGTATGAACACCCATTTTTTAAGTGCAACCCATCATAATGTATGCATACTAAGACCATAAAAAGCTGGGAAAAAATAGAAATAGTGCACTAACCGTGATCCACCGGGCCCAAACTTCGTCACCGCCTGTAATCTTCCCACTGTTAATATCCCAATCGAATCCCGTATCTTTGTTAAGCAGTTTGAAAAACCAACGCCACTGCTGCTTCAATCGATCATGCTTACTCGTGATTTGTGTTATCTCGTAGTAATAGTCTGGACCACAAATATCGTTCAGTTTTTTTTGGATCTCCATCCAATTGGCTTGTTTGAACTTCTGCCCGATGCACTTTCCCAGGATAACTTGGTCCAACATCAACGATATGAAGTGAGCCTCATTCTCTGGAGGCCACTTTGCTTCTCCTTGTTTGTGTTGAGAAGGGCCAGCTTCAGTGGATGTGGACATCTACAATTTTTCACGAAATACAGCTCCAAGATTGTATTGTTAACATGGAAACATACAGTTTAACATGACAACAACCCAAAAATAAATCGAAAAAATAGGTCAACATACAAAAAAAATTCAGCAAAACACCACCACAAGAATTGAAATGAGGCATATCAACCCAAACAAAGCAAGTTCAACGACACAGTACAACCGGAATAATAATCGCATTCCGCTCTCGGTCAAAACTCAACTTCATGAACACAACACAACACAACCAGGCACAGTTCAACCCAAAAGAAAATAGAAAAAAATAACCAGATCCACTTAAAATAATATAACATAACATAAGAGATGGGATGCGAAACACAAAATATCGGTTCCCAAATTGTACAATATGTAATCCCTAATTTATAATTATCGGTTCCCAAAATAAACAAAATCACATATACAAATATTTTTTTCGACAAATTAAAGGAAAAAATCACCGAATCGTATTTCAGGAAAAAAAGGTGCAGGAAAAACACATTTAAATCGAACAAACCTTTCTTCTCCGTTTTTTTTCTTTTCTCGGGCGAGTTAACCGACACGCTGCCGGTGCTTTCGCTGTGCAGATCCCGTCTCTCCAGCGAAGCTTCCGGCAAACGAAAAGGTTAAGCGAAGTAGGCACAGAAGGATTTGCACCGGAGCTCATGTTTTTTTCAGACGGAGATGAAGGAGATTTATTGAGGAAGGGGTCGTCGTTTAATTCAAGTAGGAGAAGGTAGTAGGTTGCTTTTGTCAGAGATACATATCAATATCAATTTCATATTACAGTTGAAAACAATTAATGGGAGACAAGCCAGCGTTGGAGTGGGTCCGTTTTTCAGAATGCCAAATTGAAATATTTTGTAGACAATCGCTTAATAATCCAAAATGTTCAATTATCTCAGTTTTTACCAATTAATTGGTAAACAAGTCGTCCCCTTACTTTTTCCTATTTTGTTATAGCAAATCTTCTTTTCTCTATATTCATTCCAACAACCCAAACATTTCCTAAAGCCTTCACTGACGTACAATTTTCTATTTTTTTTTTTTTTTGTTTTAAACGATAGACATTATAAATAGACACACATATTTATAGTCTAGAAAACAGTATGATACAACTGAATCAAACAGCTATACAACTGAATCTAATATGAAATACGTATTTATAGTCTAAAAAACAGCCAGTAACAGCCAATCAAACAGCTACACAATAGAATTTAGTAAAAAGTATACATGGATATAACCTATGCCCGACAATACTAACACAACACAACCCACAATACTACTAGACTACTACAAGTAGAGATTAATAACTCTTAAAGAGGAGAATACTAATAAGTGATGTGATCTGTTGTCAATTATATCTTTATGCTGTCTGATCATCCAAAATGGCTCAAGGTCACACACTTACAGCATCATCACTTTGTAAATTAAAACAATCCACTACCATCATTAAAAAAAAAAGGCACGAAACCTCCCAATTTCAACGGTATAAGGCCATTCGAACTATATGCGAAGTAAACGAGACAGAAAATATAGAAACCTTCACCACAAACCTCAGAAGCAAAACGGCACCTTGCAACTTAAGAATTAGAAAGAAAAAATGGAAGTGCAATAGTAACATCCAGATACTAATAAATAATATTACTGGATAAAATTACACTTTCCATATCTAATGCTTATAAGTTATGACAGCTTTAAGCCACCATGAACTTAACAGCTGATATATATGAACAGCAGGAAGGACAAATCCTACACTAAACCATGACCACTGAACGGTTAAATAATAAGGTCTCGGGGCGAAGTGCGAGCACAAAACCGGCGTGTAAAACGTTGTAAGCCTATATGGTCCTTGCAGAACTAGCTTGGCGAGTCCCTCGAGAACAGGTTCCGATTCTGAGCTTTATTAAGTTCATAGCCCAAAATTGCAGGTCTGCACATACTCGTTTTCATAGTCGACATATTTAGTCCAGAGCGGGCGGAACTGGGAGATAGCAATATCGAGCCATGGCTTCATATTTCCATTGAAGTGTATGACAGCAGCATTGTTGATCTCATCCATGCTTATGCTCGGGTTATAACCGAGCCCCAAAACGTGCCAAGACTTGTCTAGTGGCTTGGTCGTGGAGTAGTAGGTGATCAGACCTGGCGGCAGGGTCCCCAATTTCCACAGCGTCCGATTCTCATTCTACAAAAGATTGCACAAGCACAATCAGCCTCACAAGAAAGTAAGTGTATAGAATAACCATTGCAAACTAGCTTGCAGATCAAATGCATATATACATACCATCAGATGTCAACTATTGGTAAAGAGAAGTATGGCCCAGAAATAATGTGGTTTTATCTATTGCAGTATCAAAGTAATGCTTTTTACAAGAAAATGCATTTGGAGTTGCACATTGACTCATTTATGCAAGAACAAACTGAGAGGAACAAGAGGAAGCAAATATAACTCAATCATAGTCTATATTATTCCACTAGTTTCATGGACATAAAATCTCTAGGGTTTTCGAGTCCACTAAGACTTGTTGTACGAAAAGTATGTTATAGCACCTAAAACTGATAAGGCAAAATCTTGTATAACTGGCCCTTGACCAAACCACCAACTCACACACGCAAGCACACACGCACACACACACACATACACACACACTGGAATAGACTACAATTAATTTTGAGTGTGCATATTCTTACCAGATTCTGCCAGTAGTGATACTCCTCAGTGCACTTCTCCCTCCTCCAAGCATCCAAATCAAAGAAATTCATACCGTAAGCCCATGCACAAGCCTTGGGACTAAACTTGGCTTTGATGAGAGGGTGTGAGAAATTCATATATTGTGCATATCGGTGAAAAGACCCAAAACACGTCTCGACAGCACCATTCACCTTCCCATCCATATCTATCTTCCACAGCCCCGTCAAGTCTCTCTGAACAACAATATCATCATCCAAAAACAGAATCTTGTGCAGCTTAGGATACATTTCCGGCAAATAGAACCTGAGATGGTTCAAAATCGAGAGATACTTTGGGTTCCTGAACTTCATATTTGTTGTATCCTTTGTTGCATTTTCTAGCTTATTCTCAAAGTAAAACTGCTGCAGCTTAGCAGACTCAAGCTGTTTCAGCACCGGAACATATGAGGAGTTGAGAAACTTATAATCCTCCACAGCCTTCACCTCAATATGGGCACCACTGTAGTCCCTTATCTTAAACATCACCTGCATGGCCCCCAGATTCATCTTATCAGTCACAACATGAAACACGTGCTTCCAAGGCTCCTTTGTGTTTTTAACAGCCGAGTTCACCACAACCGAGGCTGCTATCACATTATCAGAAAATATTGCATAATGATAAAGCTTTGGATCCTCAATCTCGGGTTTAGGCGGGTTCCCTTCATCTGAGTACTTCTCAGGATGAGCAATTCTTTCCTCCATCAACCTCAAAGCCAAGCAGTGCAGGCTCTTGGGAATTGACTTGGCTGCAATCAAGCTCGAAAAAGCGCCCTGCTTTTTGGCTTTCGTGAGCTGTTCGTTCAGAGCAAAGATGGTGTCCTTCAACTTGTGAATTTTCAGTTGGTTGTCGAAGGATTCTTTGGCCTCAGCAATGACTTGTCGGGTTAGCTTAATTCGTTCTTTCACCTCCTTCTCGAAACGTCTCAGCACAGACTCATCAATTGAGTTTGCATCTAAATCAAACAATGCTCGGTGCGAAGGTCTCGAGATTAGGTCAGTGAAATTCTGAGACAGTTCTGCGAAAATCCTCACGATCTTTGAGTTTTCAAGCTTCAGCTTCCGAGCATAGGCAGCATAAGCCAAAGCTAGATTTCTGTGGTCGTCTGCTTGTTTCCGGATCTGATCCAACCGTGGCTTCAAAGGATCTGATTTTAATGCTAAAATTGATCTACGAAGAGATGACGGCTGGGATTCAGAAGAACCCAACGAGAATCCCTAAAATTGAACAAAATGAAAAGCAGAACTTAGCTCATTTGTTCACGGAAGTGATCGTTTCAGGTTAACTGAATCCAAATGCCCTTAAATAAACCGAAGAAAAATGAGAACGCGATCTATAAGGTTAAGAAAAATTAAAGCAAATACAGCATTAATTGTACGAAAATGAGGGAAATACATAAACTCTTTCAAATCAGCATCGAAAATCGCCCAGCCAATCATCTAGTTCGTAGCTAATAACGTCTCTGCGCATCGCAAATTTCTAACTAGAGCGCAGAAAAGAGAATACTACAACGTCAAAGAAGGAAAAAATCAACAACATAAGAACTCACAAATTTGGGATCGGCGTGATTCGATGAGGCGGCGAAGAAAAATGAGACAGAGAGTAAAAGCGCGACAGCGATCGCCAAAAGGCCGGCGGAGTATCTGAATCTGGACATGATTCCCCGGAATGAGAGCCCGGATACCCGAACCGACGCCGCATTCTTGTGGGTCCGAACCGAATTCGGAGCCATTATTGCCTCTCTGAACACCGCGGAGTGAGATAGAGAGAGAGAGTGTGTGATTCAGTGAGAGTGCAGATTTAGGCGAAAATGTCAAGTCGGTGATTGTTGTTCTCTATGCACGGAGACTTGTATTTTTTGGAAGACATGCGTGCTTCAGTGTATTGTACCACGAGAAATCAATATGAAAGGGTAATGCTTCGGTCTTCAATGTACAACAACTGGTTAGGAGATATTTACGCGGTTCGTTGCAACGTGGGTACAAGCTGGCGCGTACTGTCGGTGATTATCATCTGCTTTATATTATTTGAAAATAACGTAATAAAAAATGATAGGCAAGTCATGTGACTACGTAAGTAAATTGGTGATTTAGGGCGTGAGAAATATAAATATGGGAGATGCTGCCTTTTCGTTACGGAACCATTCTGTTAGAGTTTGTAATTTTAGATCATCATGTATTGTCAGTATGGTTGATCTAACTGTTATAAATCCCGACGGAATGATTCTGTAACGGACCGTAGCATTTCCCTATAAATCACTTTTTGCCATATTTTAGTGTTTTTGCGCATTAATTTTTTTGACTTTTTTCTAGCTAAATATAAAAGTTGTTTGGTAATAAGCTTTTGAAATCAACTTTTTTTTGCCTACTTGCCAAAAAACAAAAACGCTGGAAATTGGAGCGTTTTGAATTGGCTTATTTGAGAAAAAAAAAAAAAAAAAAAAAGTCATAACTGACTTTTTTCTCTCTCATTAACTTAATTTTTTCCAATATCTTCACGTAAATTTCTTCACACCCGACATGCCTCCACTCTCCGTTTGCCCACCTTCCGGTGTCGCATGACGCCTACCTTCCGGTGACCTGTAATCGCACTCAAGTATTGACTCACAAGAGGCTAGATCGTAATTCATTAGTTTATTTTTTATTAGTTTTTATTACTGTTTGTTGTGAAGATTTGATTTTTTTTTAGCTCATGTTGTTTGCTGCGAGTTATTACTGATTTTTTTTTTTAGTTATTGATGATTTGGTGAGCTTTTGTTTTGTTTTGCAAAAAAAAAAAAGAGATTTGCTGAATGATGAGCCTTTTTACTTGTTTTGTATCACATTGATTTTTTTGTCTTAGGTTTTGTTTTGTAAAAATTGTTTTTGAGCCCTTTTGTGTTTTTCTCTTGATTTTGGTTTAGTGGAATTGTGTTCAAGAAAGCGCATCTGGTGAAACCATGAGTAAGTTTCTTAAACAAGTTTTAGATTCTATGGATAGTTTTTCAAGAGATATACTTGTACCAAAAGATCTCGAGTTCAAGGATATCCCAACACATATTTTCAATTATGAGAGATATATGCCACATTTTAAGGTAACATTTTTGTTACTTTCTCCAACTTTTTTTTTTCTATTGAAGATGAAGATAATATAAATTTTTATTATGTCATATTAGGACTGTATTGGAGCTATTGATGGTACGCAAATTGCGATAACTGTGCCTGAAAAGGATCAAATCCATTACAGGGGAAAAAAAGGGATACCGACTATAAATGTTTTAGCAGTGTGTGCCTTTGATTTGTTGTTCACATATGTTTTGACAGGATGGAGGGATCAACACATGATTCTCATATTTTCCTTGATACGATCAATAATCCAAATCTCAATTTTTCGGAACCTCCATCAGGTTTTGTACCTATCATTTATGCATTGTTGCACACACACACGCACGGACATCTTAGATATAATTTTATGTCTACTCTAACTTGTATATGTTTTGGTAAATATTACTTGGTAGACAAAGGCTATCCAGAAGAGAAGGTTATTTAAGGCCTTACACCAAGACAAGATATCATCAATCTGGATTTCGTGGTTCAAATCCGAGGGGGTCTCAAGAAGTTTTTAATCGGGCTCATTCATCTTTAAGAATTTGCATTGAAAGGGCTTTTGGTGTTCTTAAGGCTCGATGAAAGATACTGCATAAAATGTAGAGATATTCTTTAACAGATCAAAATAGAAGCACTTGTTCATGTTTTGCACTTCACAATTATATTAGAAGAAGCACAATTGGAGATCCAGACTTTAGAGTTATTGATGTGAATTCTGAATTCATACCTTCTGATATTTTCCAAGATGTTGAAAATAATTCTGCACAAGATGATGGGAAAAAAAGGACTCGAGAGATGGCAAACGTTCGTAATAATATAGCTTCAAGTTTGATGGCATCTAGACGTCATTCTTAGAGCACTAGTTTTTTTTCTTTTCTTTTATTTTTTTTAATTGTAATAGCATATATTGTAATTGACTCACATTTATTTTTTAGATTTGTAATGACTTGTTATTGGCTTTGTTTATATGACGTGAATTTATTTACTCAATAGAGAAATATTTTTATTTTTAATTATTTCTATTTTTATTATTTTTAAATCACTTTAAAAAATATTTTAAATATAAATTATTTCTATTTCCTAAATAATTATAAGTTCAACATAAATTAGAATAATAAACTATGTTGATGTCCTTATAAGTAATTTTACATGTTAACAACTAAATAATATAGCTAATTTTACCAAACACTTTTTTACAAACCGCTAATACAATCAGTTGGTCAAAACAGCTAATGCAATTCGTGGGTCAAAACAGCTAGTGCAATCTGCTAACAGCTAATAGCTAACTGCCATTTACCAAACAAGGCCATATATCCAGTTTGAGTTTTTTTTTTTTATTTTTGATTAATTCTAAAAAAGTTAGTTTGATTAGTATTTAATTAGATTTTAAATTTAAATTAAAATCTATTACCAATAATCTATAATTTATATCTATAATCATATGAAAAAGTTGTTGGAAATATCACCAGATACCCTTAACCGTCGAGGACCAAAAATCGCACGAGTTTCGTGACCTCTAAAGGGACTTACTACTACGTGGTTATGCCCTTTGGACAGAGGAATGCCTGAGCAACTTACCAGAGGTTGTGAATAAAATGTTCAAAGGACAACTAGGGCATTACATAAATCGAGAAATGGCATCATATACAGGTTTACATTAACGATATGCTGGTTAAAGAAGGTGGAGACCCATGCTGCAGACCTAAAGAAACTCTTGACACATTTCTTAAATATTGGATGAAGCTTAATCTAGTAAAGTGCAAATTTGGTATGAATTCAAGTAAATTCCTGGGATACAAGGTCACATAAATAGGAATAGAGGTTGTTGACGTTAATTTTTGCCAACTCGACTACCAATGTTGTAGTGTCTTAATTAGGGGGTGATTAGTATTTCAATACGAAAAAAAATGCGGTAGTAAAAATGAAAGAATAATCGCAATGATAAGATTGTCGACGAATTAGTGCCCCTGCACAAGGGTTTTTATTTGACAGTATGGGCCGCTCATAGGCCTCTTTTTATACAAAGGTCTGTTGAAGGATGTTTCAAACTGGAAAAGAGACATTGAAAGTCAGTATTTTTCTATTTCTGGAGATTCTTGTGAGTGATTTATCATCTAATTTGCCTTTTTGATTGACAATTTTTTTATGTCGCTCTCGATGCCGAGGGTCTGGTGTTTATAAAAAGAATGACCATTACAATATTATTTTTTGGGACACGTGGGGGCCTCTTGTGGACCGGCGGTAGCCGGTATGCATGGCAACGCGTGTCTTTGCAACGTGCCCAACTTGCTCGAGTGTCTTATCTCTTTAGGCGGTGCAAACCAGTTCTGACGACAACACGTTTCCCACTGGGATTTTAGTCGAGTCAGCACGAAGAAAATTTTGTCACTATCTGATATGATAAATTGATCCCGTTGGTCTGATCCCCTCACTATCTAGAGTGAGATCGGCGCAAAGGAAGAGATCGGCTTGGAGGTTGATGTCTTTGTTCGAACCGATATGTATTTGGTTCATGGGTCCTTGGAATATCCGTGGTATATGCTTGTCATTCACGTCATCGTTGTTTAGGCTTACTCCAGATCGACAAATTTTGGGTATAAAAGAATGCCCCCAAGCTTTTTGGATAAGACAAGGTACTTCGGTTGATCGTAGGAAGTTATTTGAGTTATTTTTGTTGATCTGAGGTACCAAACTTGATTGGAAAATAGGTGTAAGTGGCAGGAGTGGGTTTTTGAACAATCAACTCATGATTAGTGGAGTAAATGTCCCTCATTTGAGGGTATAGAGGTTGTAGTTGCACTACCGTGTGCCCT